TGGAGGGCAAAGCACCCCCCTGCCTCTGCCTCCCGAGTGCTGGGATTAAAGGCGTGTGCCACCAACGCCCGGCGATTTTGCTGTTTATTATATTTTTATGATATATTTTGCCACTTATTTGCTGTGCTGAGGATTGAATTTACTCTTCTGCCTAGTGCATGTTAGGCAAACTCTACCACTGAGCCACACCCCTAGCTCCTCACTTGGGCAATCTGGGTATAAGCTCTACCACTTAACGTCCCCAGCCTTCTTTTACCTTTTTTTTTTTTTTTTTTTTTCAAGACAGGTTTTCTCTGTGTAGATTTGGAGCCTGTCCTGAAGCTCATTTTGTAGACCAGGCCTGCCTCTGCCTCCCAAGTGCTGGGACTAAAAGTGTTCGCCACGGCCACCACACCACTAGGCGTTTTACTTTTTATTGGGGGACACTCTTGCTAAGCCTTTGAGTTCCTCTGCCCAAGCAGGCTTGAAAAAGGCAATTCTCCTGCCTGAGCCTGAGTAGCCAGGACGACTGGCCTGTAATATCAGGCTTAGCTACTTTTCTTTTTATAGATTTTAGATACACCCCCCTGGTCTGCTGGGTCACAGCGAGCACACTCTGAGCTGGAGTGTGTATGCTACATGGGAGTACAGGGGCAAGAATCGGTAGTTAGCCGACTGCTGTAGGTGCTGGAAACCCAACTCAGGTCCTCTGCAAGAGCAGTATATGGTCTTCACCACCATTGAGACCTCTCTCCAGCCCTAGATTTTGTGTGTTCTTTCTTTTCCTGGCCCCTTTGTCACTTTCTCATGGAGGCTTTATTTTATTTTTTAAGATTCATTTATTTATTATATATACAGTGTTCTGCCTGCAGGCCAGAAGAGGGCACCAGATCTCATTGTAGATGTTTGTGAGCCACCATGTGGTTGCTGGGAATTGAACTCAGGACCTCTGGTAAAGCAGCCAGTGCTCTTAACTTCTGATCCATCTCTCCAGCCTCTCATGGAGGCTTTTTGGAGCGCCCCCACTGGGTCTGCTGGGTCACAGTAGGCACACTCTCAGCTAGAGTTGCAACCGCCACGGAGGTGTGTTTGCTTGCTTCTTCCACTGGGACGTGAGCTCTGGGATTCTGAATTAAATGGATGAGAGATTATCTAAATAATGCTAAGTCTAGTACACCCAAGCAGCTTCCCAGCCAGGCGTGAGTGGGTAGCCTATCTGCAATCCCAGTGCTAGAGAAGGTGGAGGCAGGAGAATCAATTCAAGGTTACTTTCAGCTATATATGGAGATCCAGGCCAACATGGACTCTACCAAACTAATAATAGTAAAAAAGGACAACTCCCGGGAATCGCATCTCTCCTTCCATTGTGTGGGTCCCAGGGCTTCGGTGGTAATGAGTCACCTCCACAGCCTGGAATTAGGCGAGGGCATTCTGGGTAAGCCCCTAGAACCTTGGACTTGGGTGAATGGTGGTTTACACCTGTAATCCCAGCATTCAGGATGCTGAGGCAGGAGGACTGCACGGAGCGCAGAAATCTGGGGCTGGAGATGGCTGGGTGTCCTAGAGTGCACACTGCTTATACAAAGGGCCGGAATCCTGCTCCCAGCACCAACCGGGAACAGCTCTCGACTCCTCTGGGTCCAGGGGAATCCTATGCCCTCTTCTGGCCTTCACAGGCATTACATTTACCCACAAACATACACTCCTAAAAACCTTCCGTATCATGTCTCAAAAAACTAAAAATAGGGGCTGGAGAGATGACTCAGGGTTAAAGAAAGCTTGCTGCTCTTGCAGAGGTCCTAAGTTCAGTTCATTGGGTGGCTCACAACTGCCTGTAACACACACACACACACACACACACACACACACACACACAC